GGAGGTGCTGTCAAGCATCTCAAAAGATGAATTTAGACAATGTTTTGAAAAATGGAATAGAAGACTAGACAAGTGTATTAGTGTAAGTGGAGAGTACTTTGAAGGGGATTGAAGGTTTGTGCTTAAAATTTGAATAAATAAGCTTAAAAAAAAATAAGTTCGGTTTCTTTTGGGTACCCCCTCGTACAATCAGTCTTCTGCATACACACATTTGAGGAAAACAGAGTTCATTTTGTGTTACTGAATCTTAATATCAACCTTATACTGTTTCTACAATAAAATTGACTCTTGTGTTGTCTTGTATTTATTCATAAAATATTTTAATAATACATAATATAATGTGTCCCACTGGTGGGACTTGACAGCTGGTTGGGTGGGACACAAGGTCATATGTAAGGAGAGGGGGAAAAAAGAGAGGACTTCCTTTAATGATTACTATGATGCTAAAATACACTTCTAGGGAAAAAAAAGATTTGTTTTTACTACAGCCCATAAAGGTTAAAGTAGCTACCACATATAGTGAAATAAAGAATACTCAGTACATTGTTTCCAACCACAGGAATATAATATTAAGTTAACGGATATGGAATAGTGTGTTTGAACATGTACATGCTTAATACATGATTCCCAACAAGCTGGTCATAGCACAGAACAAAAATTAAATTACATTTTGTAACTCTGTGATGTTTTGATAAAAATGTATGAAAGCTTATTTCAAGACTGTGGGATCTGGGATAGGTATCTATGTACCAAACTACAAAGCAACACATCCCAGAAGACTGTAATCATTATCATTGTGATAAGAACCTCACATCTTACATTGTGTTTCTATAGCACTAGTTTCCTTTTGTGTTCCATGTATTGGCATTATTATTATTAATATAGACTATCATTTTTGTATTTTGTTTTTTAATTATTTTTGTGTATTTCTCTATTCGTGCTAGCTTTGTAATTGGCCCTTGTGCTGTTAAGTTTGCACGTAAATAAACATGAATTAATTGAATTATTATTATTATTATTATTATTATTATTATTATTATTATTAAAACATTACTTTATATTATGAGGGCTATTTGGAAAGTAACCACAGGTGAACTGTTAACAAAACAAGCAATGAGAAAGAAATACATACATACTTAAGCTACTTTTCATTGTAGTCACCACCAGGATTGAGGCACTTGATGTATTGGGGAATAAGTTTTGTGTGCTTGAGTGTCAAAGGAGTCTGCCACCTGTGAGCTAAGTCATGTTTTGACACATTCCATCAGCAGCTCATTATCGTTGAAGCACCGTGATCCCATCCAGTTCTTTAGGTAAGTAAACAGGTGGCAGTCGCTTAGACTGACATCAGAGCTCTAAGGATGGTTGTGAAACAACACTCCCATTTGAAATACTCCAGCATTGCTTGAGTGTGAGCAGCTGTACGTTGACGCACAGTCGTGGACAAGCACTACATTGGATGTCAGCATTCCACACCTTTTGTTTTGAATGGCCCTAAACTTTTTTTATAGTGTTTCACAGTGCACTTCTGGCATTTCTGTGATTCCTTGTTGCATGAATTCTACCATCACCAATCCTTTCTTGTCCCAGAAAACAGTTACCATCAGCTTTCTGGCAGATGTTTGTTTAAACTTTCTTTGGCTTATTTGGTGAATGTGTATGCATTCACTGCTTTGACTGCTCTTTGGTTTTGTCTTCACACATGAAACCCAGGTTTCATCACCTGTTATTTGTACAGTGTGACACAGAAATTCATTGCCACCTTTGTGGTACTGCTCTAAAAAAGTCAAAGCTGAAGCTATCCTCTACATTTTGTGAGCACCAGTGATAGCCTAGTCCAACTATGATAATCTTGTAGAGAATAGTGCGTGAAATTCACATGGAAGTTCTGAAATTGTGAAGCATCATCTTTTACAGATTTTTTGGTCAACGCTTTGAACAAGACCATCACCACTAGATGCCTAACCACTTCACTCTTCATTGTGAACATTTGTTCGCCCATCTTTGAGCATTCTACACCACTGTCTTACACTTCTTTCACTCATTATGTTTGGGCTGTAAATTGCACATAATTGACAACAGATTTTGCATCACTCGTTTTTAGCAGGAAGAAAGTAGATAATAGCAGGAATTTTGCAGTTAATGGGATTATCAGTTGCAGGACACATTATAACTCACTCTGTAGGGACAAGAACAAATACTACATGACCAGTTATGTGATGGTTTACAAGACAGTGAGTCATGTGATAGCCCTCCCCCACTGGTACATCAGTTGCCTAGAATAAAAGGAGGATATTTTCTGAATAGCCTTCGTATTTGCATTTTTTTAATTTACGTAGCTTAGTTGTAGAAAGACTATTGTTATGTTTGGTACATTTCTGATTTTGTTTTCTTTTGTTTTTGTGTAGTTTAGTTTGTGTTTTGTTTTGTTTGCACTGTGAGGTAGGCAAAGACATGGGTGCAAGTCGGCGCTCGTGTCAACACCATTCTTTTCTCTCAGATGTAACAGATGTTCGGCGTATGGAGGCAGCTCTACTGCATCTTCTTGAAGACTTCCATTCTGGCAAATTGCGTGCTTTTGGTGAGTCCATCCAGCCATGGTCTTATGAGGGTGGGGAATAGCAGGTAGGATAATGAGGAAAAAATACAGCTGAAAATGAAAGGCATGCATCTCCAGTTCTCCATAAATATTCTGCACTTTTCTACATGAAATGCACTTCCCTACATATTCACTCTCCATATATAGGGTTATTATGAATGACCTGTACATTTTGAAACATTTACTATTAAAAAACAGATGAACTTACAGAAATTAAACAAATTAATTAGTAAAAAAGCCTCTCAGAGCTCACAGGTGTTCAGTGTGAGCACCAATGGCCACTCTGCAGATGCCATAACAGGAAGTGATCTCTTCCCACACACTGTGTAACATTCGCTCATCAACTGAATTGATAAGTAGCCTCATTCTTTATTTCTCTTCATCAAGAGTAACTTGCATTGGTGGAAAATACAATGGATCTTCAGAACTTTGAGTTTCTCTTACTGTTGGTAAGAGTTTCAGTTCTCTAAGCCTATAATTTTCCTTTTTTGCATTAAATGTTCAGGAGTGTATAATTAATATGTCTGTAGACTGAGTTACTTAAGATTTTTTGTCTGTATGTGCATGTAAATACATTTTTTTTAACACCAGGTGAGTTTCTCTGACTGTTTGCATTGTTTTCCAAGGCTTTTGACTGTGCTGAGTGCAGTTTTACCCAATTTAGCATACACAGAGAACATGGCCTTTTCTGACATTGCAATACATTGTGGGGGTTAAGTGTTATGTTTTTCTTTATTTGTGTATTTTTTTGTTAGTAAATTTCAATAACTGAACAAACGGACACAGAAGTCTTAATCATATCTTCCTCTGTCTCATGTCCATACCTCTCCTGAAGTATATATCTGAAGGACAATTGCTGTATTTTCTCTTCTGAAACTTGCAGCATATATTATTTCCACTTTTCTTGATTTGTACTCTAAAATCTTAAATGAATTTCTTCATTTCTTGTCTACCTTCTTTGACTGTTTTATTAATGCATTCTTTACATACTGATATTTTGCATTTCAAAACTATCTATAACCTACTTCATTAAAAATGTTTTCATGTGTTCTTTCCATATAACTTGTGTTCCAACACATCATCATTTAATGAACCTGAAATGCTAAATTAATATAGATCATGAGGTTCCTTATTTTATCATTGTCGTTTTACAATTCCTTGTTCTGTAGCCTCTCTTCAACATGTTTTACATGTTATTACTATTTTTTCAGCTTGAGGGACCACATTTTGCACTAAGGGAAAAGATGGATAAAATATTTGATATATTTTAAGTCTTCGTGAGACTGAACTTACCTAAACAGTGATCTAATATTTACTTCACAACTCTCAGCCATGTTAATATCATGGAATGGTGTGTCACAACTTATGTGGAGATAACTATGAAGTAGCTTGCCAGTATGTTGTTGCTACAACTAATGAGGGGTAGTCATTCAGCAGATTCACTGAGAAAGGGGGAAAAACGTCTGCAGCATAAATAGTGGTTTTGTAGAAAACTGGAATTGGTCAGGCTTGTTTGGCATGACCTAAACATTCAAAAACAGACATGAGATTGGCAAGACGTGCAATGTGGGGGAATGGAGATAAAGCACTTTCAACTTTGGCAATAGTCAGATCTATGCTTTGGCAGTCTACCCTTAGGGGAGAGAGCTCCAGGTATCCACTGTATTTTCACCAGAGTCACAGAATAGGGAACAGTGTGTAAAAATATTGTTTATTGCATTCCATCCTTCTCTTTTTTAAAATAAAATAAATCATTCATTCAACCTATATAATACTTCATCCTAAATTCACTCGTGGAGCTGAGCCCTTCTTGAGAAGCCACCAATTGTGCAGCTACTCAAGAATTTCCCAACATTTTATGGAACTCGAAGGTTCCTTACTGTGTTCACAAGGGCCCCCCACCAGTCCCTATCCTGAACCACATCAATCCAATCCATACCATTCCATACAGTCTCCTTCCTTCCGGCTTTCCCATCAATATCCTATATGCATTCCTCCTCTCCCCAATTCATTCTACATGCTCTTCCCACCTCATCCTCCATAGACTTGGAGAAGTGTACAAGTTACAAAACTCCTCATGAGGCAGTTTTCTCCATCCTCCCATCACCTCATCCCTTAATGTCACACCCATACAGAACCACAGGCAAAATTATAGTTTCGCATATTTTAATTATTATGTTTTTAGACAGCAGACTGAATGGTGGCAAGCATTACCTGAGTTCACACTCCTCTTAATTTCCTCCTGAATCAGGTTTTCATTTGTTACAGTCGTTCCCAAATATCTGAACTGCGCCACATTTTCAAAACATCTGTTACCTCTCTTTATGTCCTGATTTTGCCCTGCATTTTCGTGATGAGATAGCAACATATACTTATTTTTCTCTGTGTTTACTTCTAGACTTCATCTTAAATTAACAATTTAAATTTACATATAACAAAATGTAAACATCTTGCTGTCCACCTGGTTTAGTTCTATGTATACTGTCTGCAAATTCAAATCTTTTTCATAGTCATTTCCTTCTGTAGGTAAAGATTGCAGCATGGAACAGATGACAGGGATCCGGGAGCAACAGGAACGACTGGCAAGGCTGCATTTTGACCTCGGAGCTCAACAGGAACTGTATGCTCCCCTTAGTGATGAAGGATTGCGTGCTGGCCAGGAGAATATGCATCGGCTTATGGAGAGCCTACAGCAGCTCAGTGTATGTATCGAGAAACTGCACTCCTTCTCCAGTGACAGCCGAGACAGTAGTTTATTACAAGATTAGTATCACCAGAACTCTCACAACAAAAAACTACAGTGGAACCTTGCTTAACGAGTAATTCACATAACGAGCAAAACAAATTGTAAAAAAAGACTCGCATAACGAGTGACGAGAGGGGAAGTCTCGGATTGTGCGCTTGCTACATCAGTCTGTGTTTAGCACTCGTTCCGCTAGCATCTTAGTGTCGCTTCTGATCACACATTTTTCCAAACTTGTGTTCAGACATATTTGTGATTTTTTTTGTGTGCAAAGTTTAATGACCCTTGCAAAAATGTCCCCGAAGAAAAAGCCAGCCATAAGAGAATAAAAATAACTGCAGAAATGAAACATAAAAATCATTGAAAAGTGAGAATGAGATGTGAGCGTGGCTGATCTAGCACGCACATACAATTGGTCTACATCAACGATTTGCACGATTTGGAGTTGCAGTGTGTTTCACAGCAAGAAGTTGTGGAGGAGGTAACAGCAAAGCAACAATCTTCTGGTGCAATAAGAGAAATGATGAAAGCATGGGAAACTGTTGCATCATACAATGAGAAGCATCACCTTAATAAGGCAGTGGCTGTGCGTGCTGCAAATTTATTTAATGGCAATGCTGTGTCGCATTAGATATGTATCATAAATAATAAACTAATTATTTCAGTTTTTATTTTTTCTGTTCTCTGCAAATCGAATTTGCATTCCAGGTTGGTTCATTTCGCATAGAAGAAAAGATGAAGATGATTCATGCTCCTTAACAACGTATATATAATTTTCTTTGAATAAACGTTATACATAAAATTTTTTTGGCATGGAATGCATTATCGTATTTTACATTAATTTATATGGGAAAAATTGTTTTGCATTACGAGTAAGATTCTGGAATGAATTATGGTCATTAAGCTTCCATGCATCACTGTGGAGAAAGGATAATTGTTATGTCTTTCTCATCAGGAACTGTAATTCTTCTAAACACCGAATAATTTTCATAGATTTTATATTATATATACACAACTGTTACACTGGAGACTTCTTCCATGCCATTTACTTAATTTTGTTATGCAAAACATATTCTGAGCGCACATCCTCAGCAAAATAAAATCAATTTTATTAGTCTGTTACCTTTATTGTACAAGGGAGAGTCAGTAAATAGGTCCCAAATGGATATAAAATGTAAAACATGTGATATTCAAATGTGGAAGAAAACATTCATTTCTTGATGTCCTTGACAACAGAATGCTGCTCTTGGGTAGTACACTCCTCATCAGGCACAGTCACCATTTTGACTATGGAAACCAGCCTCTGAACATGCACATGCATGTCTGCTACGTAGACTGGCATGAAGCTGCACTGTGCTGCTACCTAGTGATACACATAGAAACCCATTACATTCGTTACATCTGTTTTACTTTGATTTGTGACCCCCTCATACATGCATCACACAACTGCATGTGCTGGTTCAACAGATCCCAGCAGGTTTGGTGTCACATTTCTTAAATACAAATCCTATTATCACTAAGTTTAAACTTGGCTGCCAGTGCCACAGCAGTAGATTTCAATCAATCTGGCAGCTAAAGGCTGAAAACTACTGTCATTGCATAATGTAATATATTTAAATGGAAGAGTGTCAATACATACTAGTTTTGAGGCTCATGCTTAAAGATTGGATAAGACCTAAAGTTCATGATGATGGTATATTAATACAGTGATCACTATTATGGACATTATCCATGGTCCTTATTTTATATGAAATCATGTCTCAGAGACTGGGCACTGTATCTGTTCTAGGGTAAAAATCCTACTCTGTTGGGCCCAGTCACTAGAGCTAGTCCCGATTTCCACATCTGAAGAGACTGACTCCAATCACTGAGCCCAACAAAGTATATTTGTACCTGGGGATGGAGACAGTCCAGTCTCTGAAACTTCTCAAAATTTAGGACATTTAAAAGAATTGTATTGTTAAAGATTGGGATGGGATGTTTGTAATTCTTGTTTGTGACAGTCAGAAATTTGTTAGTGAAACTCCTGAAAGGGTCATAATCTGTTAAGTGTACATTTCTATAGAAGACGTATATTTTTTCTTATACTTATATATTGTGCCTTTATTTTAATATAGATATTCATTTGTATTTAATGGTTGATTTATTGTCAAGACAGAAGAAGAGTATGTTGAATAAACACTGAATCACATATCAGTATTTATATTTGCTTACTCATCCCTTTTCTGCCCAATGATGTAGAGATGTTGCAAGACTTGTCCACCCGTTTCACTCTTTGATTTTAATTTTTATTCCAGCATATTCATTATTCTCTGTATCTTCTGCACATCATCATCCTAGATTTCCATGGGTCTCTGTCCTTCCTGCATTGCTTGCCATACTTTCTTAAGAATCTTGATTTTCCAGCCTATTTACATATCTGAATGACAGCTCTGAATTTTCTGTATTTAACATCTAAAATGATTTTGATTATGTTGATGTTATTTCATCTCTTCTAATCTTCTCAAATCTTTTAGTATTAGCAAAAAAAAAAAGGTGTCACATGCAGGAAAAATTTGTTCACTTAAAATCTACTACAATGTGTTCAGTGGTCTAGGAAACCTGGCAAGAATGCACAGTGGAAAGAAGATTTCTCCTAGAGTGCTGCTGTTAACTGCCGATAGCTGAACAAGTCATTAGCGCTGATAAACGCACACCGTCAGGTTGTCTGATCTTGTCACTACAGTAAGTTGCAGTTGCACTTCTTTCTTAGAGGTGTCAATAGGCGGTTGACATTTAAACTGAAATGAAGTTCACTATTGAACAGCGTGTGTTCACTGTCAAAACTTTTGCAAGGAAAAATCTTAAGAAAAAGTATCTGTAAGCATCTTTGCATAAGAATCCTTCAAGAAAGAATGGGCCAGCTGGCCTAGCATGCAGATTATGAAGAAGACATTCATTAACCCTTTGACGTGGTCATTTAAATTCCGCGGCCGCGGCTCCTGCGGTAATATATTCAGCCGGCCATTTAAATTTTGCTCGAAAATTATTTATTCATCATTGTTCTTAAATTCTATGAGATAGGAACATGAAACTTTCACTAAAATGCTCTTAAAAGGTGGTTTTATAACCTTACCTTATAATATGCGCGCCCTTTATATCTTCAATGGAAGCAGGTTGTTTAGTATTTGAGCAGTGAATGGGACGCCTTGAAGCATGAAACTTTCACTAAAATTATCTTAAAAGATGGTTTTTATAAACTTACCTTATAATATGAGCGCCCGGTATCTATTCGAGCAGTGTAAGGAAGGCCTTGAAGCATTCGTGTAACCCAACGGTGCCCCACATTCCTCGCTCCGATATTTACGGTCATCCCTCGAAACGACCACCAAGGTCAGTACGATAAAATGACGTCAACTGGAGCGATGATTATGAAGGAATGAGTACTTTTCCCTCCCCCACACACATCCGTATCGTCTCAGGGGGTGACCACAGTGTCCTGCCTTATATTGTGGCGTTTTTCTAAGAAATGGGTGCTATGAACTGTGCGAAAGCAATTGATTTTACGAGAATAAAATTTTGGACAACCCTCTTCTAAGAATTGCAATTGAGTGTGCTACTGTGGCCAGCTCAGGGTAATATGATATTATCAACATCGTAAATATCACGTCTCGGTTGTTTATATCTTCAAAGCAAAGAAAACAGGCCTTTCATAACGGTACAGCTAGAATCCGCTCGCCAGAGCCACAGGAATTTTGCTGCAAGACAGGCATATGTAACGATGACTTATCTCAGCTAAACTCGTTGGCTTAGTATACTCTGTTCTTGTGACAACAGGCCAGCGAAAAATCTAACAATCTACAGCAAAACCACCAATTATTATGGGCGTTATAACATAGGTGTGCAGCTGGACGAAACAGACACGCCGAACCCCCCCAGATGATTTAAATCCCTGACGAACCATACACGACGAACCACGGCAACGGGTTAAAGTATATTTCAATATTTTTCTTGGTTGCTGAGAGTTTGAAAACAATCATATGAGTATGCTGTGGCATATAGACCCATTGCTATGCAAAGACCGTGAAACAAATGACGAGACAACAGCTGCTGCTAGGCAGCAGCCAGTATGCGAATGGACTCACTGCGTACCGATCATGTGGGAACTGCAAAACAAACAAGACAACAGCTGTTGCTAGGCAGCAGACATGCATGCAAAAATAGAAGAGCTCTGTTTTCTCTAGGTCCATGCCAAGAGGTTAAAAGCGGGAAGAAGTTTAGAGCTTAGTTCAGTTGTGGCATATGTGCCAGATGGTAAGGACGTAAGCAGAGGACAGTGTGAAGATCTGTTACCAGATTACTAGTGAAGACTAGGACGTTGGTGTGAGATGGCTGCCAGCCTAGGAGTTAGTCAGTTATAAGGGAGTCTGTGAAGAGAAGACATAGAACATATAATTTATATATCACTGATCTGGATCCATATTGGTAAACCATCCAATAACAAGTGACATATTCAAGTAACAATTGCCTGACGATGACCCGATAGGATCAAAACATGTAGCAATATTTCCACACAATAAATGAATGCCAGTACACTAGTACTGATTTGTTTATTGTAGAACTGCTGTGTTGACTGATACATTAAGAATACTAAGAAGATACAGAAGACTGTTGGAGAGTTCCCGGACTAGTTAAAAAAAGAAATGCTGGCTTAACTTAATTTTGGCTGCTATATCCTTCAAAATAGTCTCCTTGGGAAATACAGAGATCCCACTTTTTTCCACACTTCAAAAGCACCGTGGAAGTCATTTTTCTTAATGCTGTCAAGTACCACTTGCAATCCCCTCTCAATGTCAGACACTGTTTCAAAATGTCATCCCTTCAGTTTCATTTTGAATTTGGGAAACAAAGCGGAATAAGTCCGTAGGGTAGGGAGGATGGGGAACGACAACCATGTTGTTGTTAGTCACAGACACTGTGGTTTCCAGGGACGCGTGGGCAGGCGTGTTGTGATGAAGGAGCCAGTTGTGGTTGCACCAAATATCCCGTGTTTTTCATCACGCATTTTCTCTCATGTCTTCAGATGTTTGTTTCTGGATCATAACAGTAAATACAACTTTTGTCACCCATTATGATCCTAGAAATACTTGT